ACTAATTATTTGGGGACCACTATAATTCACTAATTATTTGGGGACCACTATAATTCACTAATTATTTGGGGACCACTATAATTCACTACCCTAGGCTTCCAACCACCATTAATTAATAGGCTGAATCCCGAATCAACTAAGGATTTTACACTACAAACACCAGGTCAGCCATTTTGTTAACGGTCTTGGAAGTCTAGGGACTATAAGCATCTCCGACTTGGAGCATACTCATAAAGTTGGTTGGATATCATGAATGATATATATATATATATGGATATCGATTTGCCTTCACCCCGCGACTAGACAAATCGACGCCGTTTCTGCGTTGCTGAGCTCTTCAATCTACTTCTAAAGATCGTAGTTTCAGGGACCAAATGTGACAAATCGGTCTACAACTCACCAAAAATGCCAGAAATCTCCCAAAATCCCATGCTACATCCGCCACATGGCCACATCACGGCCACTCCACACCCTCCCTCGGACCAGCAGGTCTGTCTCTTCGGCCAAGCGTTCCAAGCGCCGTTTGGCCTCGGTGCGCGACTCAGAATCCCCCGCCTCGAACGTGCCCGAACGTGCCATGAGGTGTGTGGACGTCGTCCCGACATCGAATTATTTCGGTGAAGAAGAGGAAGGTGGGTCAGGTCGTGAAACAGTCGTTTAAAGAAGATCCAGGTAGGGGTATGGTCCCAGAGCTTCCAACAGGGATACATGAGAACCTTCGGTGGTGAGTTTCTTTGGTCAGGCAGGGGTGTTTGTCGGCAACATCATGATATCAGTCCTTTTTCCATTGCAACTTTTTTGTTGCACAAAAAGACATGATATCATCTCCAAACAAACTGGAGCGGATGGCCTGAAATCAACCAGACTTCACATGCGGTCGACATGGACCAGACTTCACATGCGGTCTTTCAAGACTGCCCTCGAGGTGCTGCCCTTCTCTCCTGCCGAAATACACTACATGGAAGTCAGATTCTCAGGCGCATCGAAGACAGTCATCCTCTTATGACTCTCGGCAGGACGCGCTTCCAGGCGGCAGGACGCGCCCAACCATCAAACATCTCGTCGACCAATTGCTCTTGAAGGGGTGTCCACGAGCGAACACAGACCAAACAGTCTAGCATCTCGATCTCTAAAGACGGTTTTCCTTCCTCTTCGCGCCTGGTCGAAACCGTCCCTCCACCCCTCCCACCTCCCATCCCTCAGTCGGCCACCCCTTTAGGTGCCATCCACAGCTCAGCCCACGCTTCTGGGAGCGCCTGACGCCGGCGCTCGGCTCGGGAGGACGTCCGTCTTCGCCCAGGTCCGCCCGTTCGTTCGACGTGATCGTTGGAAGATGGGACGCCGTTGGTGATCGTGGGTGCATGGACAACCAACGGACCCGTAACCAGTCACCCGTCACCGGACCCGTAACCGGAGTTCAAGCCCGGTCTACCGGTCTACTCCTGGCCTCGGCCTACCCTGCAGTCTTCGCGAGTTCGTGCGTCACGCCCAGCGATGACGGCCATCGAGTCGCGCCGACGACGAAACGGTCGACCCATTCAACGCCAACGTGAGAAGAAAGGTCGAAGTAGTCACATGGAGTTGGGTGGTGTGGCTCGTCCTCCAAGGGGCCGTGGATGTGACGTGGTTCGGGGCACCCCCGATCTTCCGAACGCTTCGGAACCGGGCACCGCACCAGCTCATGTGAGCGTCCCAAGCACCTCTTCGATGCTCCGGCCGGACAGGGACTGAAGTGGGGTGGCTTTGCCAGAAAAAAGAACCCACCTGGAACCCCAGTCCCAACCAGAAACAAATGGTTGTTCCAATATGGCAATTGAAATCCTTTAAATAGGAAATGGTTGTTTGGGGAAACATCAATTTCTTTCTGGTTGTTTGGGGTTCCAGGTGCAGTGGTTTGGGGCATTCCATGTGGTCCGACCGTCCGACCTGGTCGGGGCGGCCAACGGCTTTTGGGCGGCCGACGGTCCTGACCCTCGTTCTTCGTCCGTCTTCGCCACGTCGGGCCGGCGAAGACGGTCCGTCCCGCCGTCCTCGTGGCGGAGCAGGTCATTCGGCACGTCGAGGCACGGCAGGCGCCGGTGCCGCGGGCGCCAGGTGACTTGCCACAACGGGAGGTTCCCGTCGCCTGGCCGAAGCAAAGCGGTGGCCGGTGGCCGGTGGCCAGTCCTCTGGGTTGCGCACGTAGCTTTCAGGTCTTGTTTTGGTTCTTTCGGGTAGGAATGGTCTTGCTTGTTGGATTCCAAGTTGTAGAAATTCTCAAGTAGTGCGAAATCAGTTTTCTCGGCTTGAATTTAGGGGTGTTCTTGTGTTCCTTCGCCAAAGACCTTGGTTTTCAGGAATGTTAAGGATATTGGGGATTGGGCGTTAGATGTCAAGTGAAAGTGGGGAGGGAAAAAAATCAAGAGTCAGGAGGTCGTAAGAATCAAGCTGATTCTTCCTTCCTGGACAGTCTAGTGGACAGGCGAACCTAGCAAACGTTTGGTACATGACTCCAGTGTGACAGAAACGCTGGAAGCAAACACCGTTTCCATTGAACCAGATTGAAGGGCATGTCGAACTGAACGCCCACCATTGAAGGTTTGTTTAGCACCAAAAGTTTTTCGGCTCCTCCTTCTCATCCGGCGTTCAGGATCATGTGTGCTCTTTTAGCGTTTCTCGATGACTTTCGTCCATCCCCATTCTGTTCAGGTCCTCTTCCTTCGTGCAAAGAAGTGCTTGCCAACTTCTGATTCAGCTTCTAATAGTCCAAACCCTCCACACGCCAACTCTCCAAACCGGGCCGGACCCTCCGAACGTCCTCCTCCTTCCTCGTCCCCGTTTGGAATGAGACCGTGTGGCCTTGCAGCAGCTCGTGGTAGGGCGGTGGAGAGCCTTGCACATAGCCTTGGGACGTGTAGGGTTTCGGCTTGCGGCTTGCGGCACGGCATCAAATCCATTCAAAGCCCCTCAACCAAGCGCCTCAAGCCCCATCGGCCAATCGTCCTCAAGCTACATAAGCCCTTAAACGGTCCGTGCGAAGCGTGTGAGTCAGGACCCCTGCTGATCTTCTCCAAAAACCAGACCTACCGTCACCTTGAAGGTGTGTGCCTGACAACACCAGCCCAATTTCTGAAAATAGAATTTGAACATGTGTGTGTGTGTATGTCGTTTCATCCGAATTCGTCCGTAACTGTCCCAATATCCGGATCCAACAGCTCACCAGTCCAGCCACCCTCCAGCCGCACCAGTCCAGCCACCCTTTTGTTCTCTTCGCACCTTCGGCTTTGGAGCCCGTCGCCGTCGCCCGAGTTGTTCGACGGCGGGGCTCAGCGGCTCAGTGCATGGAGGCTGCGCAGGTGGCGCCGCGGTTCGGCGCGGGGTGGACACCCGCGCGCGGCGAGGCCCAGGTGTGGCACCTGCAGTCGATCAACCCGACGCGGGTCGAGGTGCGGGGGCTGGAGGGTGGGTCGAGCGACCGCAACCCGCGCCGTGGGACCCGGTGTTCCCTCGTGTTGGGAGGGGTTTGGGGGGTTCACAAAAACCGGTATAGAAGAGTCTGGGCAACCGGAAAACAACAAGCAGTCCGAACTGGGGTGAGTTGAAGTCAACCCGGCTCGGTTCTGTCGTGGTTCTCAGTGAATCCACTGACAGCGGTCCATCAAAGGAACTTCCAGCAGGGACAAGCGAACGAGCATGAAGTGCGAAGCTTTCTGGCATCAACGCATACATGCACACAAACCTGAGCACGTTTATAAATATAGAACCACTTCCAACGGGTGCTGGACAACTCTCCTCGACTTACAGGTCTTCATTGGACACCCATTGGAAGCGCCTGCGGGGCTATGCTCTTTTTGTTTGTCCAAATCTGCGAAGACTCCGAATCCGTTGCACCATTGGAATACACTTACATACAACTGGTTCCTTTCCAAAGATCTCTTTCACATAGATGATCTTTGATGTGTTGGTGCTTTTCTTTTTATGATACTTCCAAAAATACCTTCTTTTCTTGTTGCTGAAAAATCTATCTACACAGCATCCTATTCCTGTTAGATAGATTTTTTTACCTGGGGCTGCAATAGTCTCTTCATAGAAGACACCTCCACAGTTGCCAAATGTCGCGTATAGAACTATAGAACATGTTTATTGATTTTTGCATGTCCGGGAAGTACATAAACGGGTGGACATGTTTTGATACTTAATTGTCACAATGTCCTTAAAAAGACCACTGCTCCTAAAAAGTAATTTTTATAGACTTTCGTTACACATATATAGGTGACCCAAAAAGGGATTTCCCTACTTCAGTCCGTCAAAAGATAGTTTTTGGACTTCTAGGGTGTGTATATATGTATATTATATGTTTGATACCGTTGCATTCCTTGGGTTAACCAAAACGCCCAAGGATTCCTGGCGATGTTGTGCCTGCCCTGGTGTCCATCCTCCGACCGGTGGACACGTGGAAAAGCGCCGGAGACGTCGAGGGAGCCGAAGTCTTTCTCTTCTTTTTTGGAAGACCGGTTGGACCTCTCTCGAGACTGTGTTCTTTCCAAGGGAAATCCACTGCACTTCGTGTCACCCCCCCTAATGTTTCTCTCCAACGAGGCTGTTCTGGGTCGGATTTGTGGTCGCAGCGTGGGGCTATACCGGCACCGAGACACTTTCGAAGAAACGCTTCAAATTCGGTGATGTCGTGCTCTTCGTACTCCAAGCCTCAGGAAAATGCAGGATTTGTCGCATCCAAACCCAAAAGCCTCAGGAAAAACTCTTATATCTTCAATCTACATCTAGACAGTTTTGTTGAGGACTTCTTAATAGACCCAGGTGGCAAAAGGTTCTGATGTCCGACGAATTCCGAGAAACCCATCTTCTCCAAATATGCCACCTCTGCCGTCTGCGAGGCGCCCAGGCCCGAGTCTCGTCGCGCCTCCTCCTTGGCCATGCTATCGCAAAGCTTCGGCCACGCGAGCTTTCCACGGCCCACTTTGCCTTGGAAAATGGGATCTAAGATGGTCTGAGATGGTCTCTGACAGCCGCAAGTGAATAAAAACAAGACTGTAGCGCTAGGCTAATGGCCCTACATAGCGTCTGAGGTCGACGAGACGACCAGGTTCTGCCGTCCTTCGTCGCCCGTTTCGTTGAGTCGTTCCGTGGGGTTCTGGACCTGAGTCGGCCTGGTGTTTAGGGCCAGGGCCTCTGCGGTGAGCTGTCAAGATGGTCATCACCATTACTGAAAACCTAAACCAATTACTGAAACAACTGCTACTGCACAGAAGCTCAGCCAAGTCACCTTCGAAGTAGAACACGTGCAATTTTTGCCCAAGCCTCATAGCCTCCTCGACGTTCTTCCTCCACCTTATTTGGCCAGTTCAGTGGGATATATATATATATAGCAGTTGATGGAACTGGGAATTGCTGGCCCCTCCCTCCCAACAAACATAGAAGTAAAAATCATGGTAGAGGAAGATTGTCTTCCAAGGGAAGTGGCTTCCACTTCAATGATTGTAGGACGGAGTCTTCCGAAGTGGCCTTATTTCACTATGATGTTATGTGTTGCGAAGGCAGAAGGATGTAAAAGGTTGGTAACACAGCCAAGCCGCTCTTCGAACCAGGAGCATCCCCAAGGTGCTCTGCATCCGTTCTGCCTGCACCTCTCCTCCGCAATCTTCAATGCCTGGTTGAGCTCACTCTCCCACTCAAGCTCTGTTTGGTCCTCTTTGATGACCAACACCAATCCTTTCTTCATTGAACTCAAAGAAATATGTGGAGAAATGCTTTTGGATGACTGAATATTCAATCCCTAAAGCAAAACCTACAAAAACTGAGTTGTAAAATTGCGAAAGTCCCATGGCAGCAGCATCGGCTCTCTTGAACGCCAAGACTTCTTCAGTGATGGGTCCATTGGTTTCATCGTGCACATCAATCACCATCAGGTAGGTATCTAGTGGCAACTCGCCGTAAATGGTGTGACACCAACACCGTCCTGGTGTATCAGGATTGTCTGCCAATCCTGAAGCGCGGTCTGTGAGAAAGACGCATGCCAGTGAGCATCCGTTCCCCTGCTGCGTCGATGACACAGCGGCGTCCCATTCCTGGCGTTGGCTTAACTTGCGGGGCTTGATAAATTGTAGAATACGGTGCCTCGAAAGACAAAAGAGCTATTCTGCATACATGTTCAACAACCTCCAGCCACAACAGGGTTTGGAGCATCTGGGATGAGAGCAAAAATGTTGAGCCGCTAAGCTGGCCAAGTGTTTATATAACTATTCCTGAGCGTGGCTCCTAAACATCATTAGCATAGAACAAGAAAAAGAAAAAAAAGAAACAACAAAGAAAGAGAAGAAGAAGAAGAAGAAGAAGATACACGTAGGAACCTCGTTTGCCATCGACTTCCAGCCTTGCTGTACTTGCCCGGAAAGGACACGATGCAATCCAGTGCGGATAAAATGATCTTGCCTGGAAAGGCAATCCTCTTGGCCGCCAAGCCAAAGCCGGACAGATCCGCCAGCTTTCGAAAGGTCTCCATCGGTCTATCCCATCCTTTTGGGCCAATCATGCCGCACATCAGTAGCACGAACAGGGTCTGGAGCCCCACATCCAGAGTCGGGATCATCGAGAAGAGCACTCCAGCAGGAGAAAGAGAAGCGAAGAGAAGGCCACGAGTAGAGATCAAGGACAAGGCAGAGCCAATGCTCAAACCTGGCCCAAGAAGAGCCAGCAACGCATTCAGGTACAAGCAGGAAATAGCACCCAAAACGCCTGCTTCACGTTTGGCACGGCACAGAGCCATGCTGGCGATCCAGATCAAGCAGAGACTTTGAAGTAAAACGACTAAGCCCAAGGGGATCAAGCCCATCAGAAGAAATGGAAGAGGCAAAAAGGGTGAAAACATGTAGTACACCAAAGCGATAATCAAGATCAGCATGCCAGCCACGGAAACGAGAGTGAGCACCTCGCACATGGTGCTCAGACAACGAAAACCCAGCACTCTGAGTTTTTGGTTCGTCGTTTGCATCTGCAAGAGGTTTGCCAAGACGTAGAAAAAGAATACAAAGAAGATGACGGTCATATAAAGGTTCGGTGAATCAAGCGTCAGGATGGTTGCCATGGATTGATAGATGATGCTGTCGTCTGCCAAACAAATTGCGATGTAGAACATAGCACGACGGCCCCAAATGTGTAGCCACGACTTGGAAGAAAAGCGGGTGTTTCCTGAGATTTGCACAAGTACATCCAAGCTAGCATTCACTTGCCACTTGACAGAAGGATACAGAAGGTGTTATTGTGGTTTTTGGTTGTGCGAAAAGTCGGAAAACCAACAAAAAAACAACGCGAAATCCTTGGAAATGGAAAGTCAAAATTGATGGGGGACTTTGAAACCTCTCTGTGTGAAACTATTGCTGGGTGGATTTCATCCAGGTCGCTGCGGAGGAAGCAGTACACTCCAAGGCCACTGATGAGGGGCCTCAATACGCCATCCAAGACACAGAAAGTGAACAAGAGTGGCCAATCATGATTCCCATAGTGCAGACTCGCACGAAGTGCAATCAATTGGGCCAGCGTGCCAAAACAGAAATTGGCCACGATGCGTGCCAGCGTATACCTCGCATGATGACTGAGAGAGGCCAAATGCTTCGCAGATCATTGTCATATCGGTTCAAGCGAGAAACAAAACCACACACACTTGGCCAACCTTGGCATACAAATCAGTTCTGAGTCCATTCACTTCAGGCCCAAGTGACAAGAAGAGCAAAACATGTGAAACCACTTGTGCCCTGGTCCATCTGACAGACCTCGACGCCGTTTGCCTTCGTTCCAGTTCCCAAGCCACGGCGGCCAACTTGCTCCTCTGGCGCCTCACACTCCGCCGCGAGTCCCGCTGCACGGCCAGCGGCGGCGAGGCGTCCTTCGCGTCCTTCCCTTCCTCCGAGGGCAGCACCAGCGTGGTGGGAACGTCGTCCATGGCGGAGGTCTTGAAATGAATTGGCCCCTGGTGGTGTTGGTGGCTTTTCCTCACTACATAGTGGACTTGACGGCGAACTGACTGCGGCAAAAGGGCCACGTTCCGATCTATCCTGAATAGTCCCTTGAATCGATCATTATCTGATCAAAGGGGAGTCCTGAATAAAGAGGATGACATGAGAAAACACTACATCAAGAAACACGTGGTGCACTCACGCAGTGTTCTTCCAATTCGCCGGTAGGTGTTCCACTTCGCCCCGGTCGCCCCCAAAGAGTCTCTCGACCCCTTTTGGATCTGAGACTTGGGTCGCAGACTCAGCGGAAACGGAGTGGCGATTTCGCTGTCTGTCACTCATCAAAAGTTCTGATACAAGTGTGTATGAGAACAGAGACCTCCCAGGCAACGACCTTGGAAAAAGGAAAATTTACCACGACCCAATTGGTGGGGGGTCCCTCTCGAAATACACGCCCATATGTATCAATTCTTATCCAAATGCAAACAACTGCAAGGAGATCAATCACCAAAAGATGTTACACACGTCGGCTCGTCTCATGAAGGGCAATGACCCGGGTAATTCCATAAGACGTCCTATGAAGGGAAGAACACAAGCAGTTGCCAAGGTTTTTAGTGATCCCCAAATAGATAGAAACGGTTTCCAATACATTTCAGTAGGGATCTACGTTTTTATCTATTTGGAAGTCTAATATACTGCAGGCAAGGTGTATTAGGAATGCTTTCCTGTTTGAGGAATCTGATGACTTAGGTGAGGACCTTTCCTGGAGTCATGCAGCAAAGCCCCAGGTCTAAAGAGACGCCGAGCGAGCACGCGTGCCTCTCCCTAACATGCCTTTCCCTGACATGTTTTTGCTTTTGCAAATTCTTGCAAGGTTCCGCAAGATTGCGATTAAAAAAAAGTCGACCAACTTTGTCAGTTACATGTCATGTCCATGAACCCATGATTCTTCAGCACTTGTAAGTCTTTTGCATAGGTTTTAGCACGTGTGAGAATGTTGCACTTACACTGCACTTCCAAGAGACTTGACCTAGTTTTGGCATTTGCAAAAGACTTGACCAAACCTTAGCATTTGCAAGAGGCTTGGCCAAGTTTGAGCGCTTGCAAGAGAC